AATGAGTAATATTTCATAATTGTGACATTTGTAGCTATAGTTACTAGACCTACAATCATATTGGTAATATTTCATAATTGTAACATTTGTAGCTATATTTACTAGGCCTACAATCATTTTGGTAATATTTCATAATTGTAACATTTGTAGCTATAGTTACTAGACCTACAATCATAATGAGTAATATTTCATAATTGTGACATTTGTAGCTATAGTTTCTAGGCCTACAATCATATTGGTAATATCTCATAATTGTAACATTTGTAGCTATAGTTACTAGACATACAATCATTTTGGTAATATTTCATAATTGTGACATTTGTAGCTATAGTTACTAGACCTACAATCATTTTGATAATATTTCATAATTGTAACATTTGTAGCTATAGTTACTAGACCTACAATCATTTTGGTAATATTTCATAATTGTAACATTTGTGGCTATAGTTACTAGACCTACAATCATTTTGGTAATATTTCATAATTGTAACATTTGTAGCTATAGTTACTAGACCTACAATCATTTTGGTAATATTTCATAATTGTAACATTTGTAGCTATAGTTACTAGACCTACAATCATTTTGGTAATATTTCATAATTGTAACATTTGTAGCTATAGTTACTAGACCTACAATCATATTGGTAATATTTCTTAATTGTAACAGTTGTAGCTATAGTTACTAGACCTACAATCATAATGAGTAATATTTCATAATTGTGACATTTCTAGCTATAGTTACTAGACCTACAATCATAATGAGTAATATTTCATAATTGTGACATTTGTAGCTATAGTTACTAGACCTACAATCATAATGAGTAATATTTCATAATTGTAACAGTTGTAGCTATAGTTACTAAACCTACAATCATTTTGGTAATATTTCATAATTGGTACATTTGTAGCTATAGTTACTAGACCTACAATCATATTGGTAATATTTCATAATTGTAACAGTTGTAGTAATAGTTACTAAACCAACAATCATTTTGGTAATATTTCATAATTGTAACATTTGTAGCTATAGTTACTAGACCTACAATCATAATGAGTAATATTTCATAATTGTAACATTTGTAGCTATAGTTACTAGGCCTACAATCATAATGAGTAATATTTCATGTTTCGATCTGCAAGAGTGCTTAAGATATTACAGTTATGATAATAATGAGGTTACATGAAAGACTTACCCAAAATCTGTTACTGCACTTGTTTTATAATTCTCAATTTTAGATGCAGCAAATAAACTGTTTAACTAAAAGTGATAAAACATGTACTGAATATTAGGAACTTGCATGCACAAACTGACCCCTATATAAAGCCCACCCACAGCCGACGACCGTTTCACTAGACTAGGTCTATTATTTGTAAATTTGTTCAAAGTCTCGCGATTATAGATGCCATTTAGTCTAGTGAAAGCTACGAATAGAGGTTTAACAAAAGAGATACAAGTAGGAAAACACCGATAGCAAAGAATAACATGCCTACATCACATTGTTCACAATTAACCAATGACATCACAGGAGAGCAACTTGTCCACACATCTACATGTTTACACTGATGAAACCATTAACCAATGATATCACAGGAGAGCAACTTGTCCATACATCTACATGTTTACACTGTTGAAACTATTAACATCACAGGAGAGCAACTTGTGCACACATTTATACATCTACATGTTTACACTGATGAAACCATTAAAACTGAGAGATATTGTGTTAACATAAACATTTTCTTCAGCAATTATCACCTACTGTCCTAGTCTCTCCTGAAAAATTTATCCATTTGATTTTGTGTTCACATTTTTTATTTCACCAAACCTAGTTATATGTATTGCTACTAATTAAATTAAATGGAAGTTATAGATATGCATATCATGCAGTACATGAGCATATACACAGTAAAATTGTGTAATCTTTAAAATATACTTACTCCAGATTCAACTCTTAACATTAGTGCAATAAATCTGGTTGAATTTGGATCTTCCAGTTCTGGTGAATAGTCATCATTGAGTATAAGCATGTTGATTATCAGCTTTTCATCCATAGGTATATCTATAACATAGCATGGATATCTCAATAACATAGCATGGATATCTAAATATCATGGAATGGATATCTAAATATCATGGAATGGATATCTAAATATCATGGAATGGATATCTAAATATCATGGAATTGATATCTAAATAACATAGAATGGATATCTCAATAACATAATATGGATATCTAAATATCATGGAATGGATATCTAAATATCATGGAATGGATATCTAAATATCATGGAATGGATATCTAAATATCATGGAATGGATATCTAAATATCATGGAATGGATATCTAAATAACATAGAATGGATATCTCAATAACATAGAATAGATAACTCAATAACATAGAATGGATATCTAAATAACATAGTATAGATATCTCAATAACATAGTATAGATATCTCAATAACATAGAATGGATATCTAAATAACATAGAATGGATATCTCAATAACATAGAATGGATATCTCAATAACATAGAATGGATATCTCAATAACATAGAATGGATATCTCAATAACATAGTATAGATATCCCAATAACATAGTATATATATCTCAATAACATAGAATGGATATCTCAATAACATAGAATGAA